ATAATTCTACCATGTTGGGAGTCCCAAGCAGGAGGATTGCTTGAGGCCAGGAGTTCGATCAACCTGAGCAACATAATGAGACCCTTGTCTCTACAAAAAATAGAAAAACCAACCAGTCATGGTAACACACGCCTGTAGTCCCAGCTACTTGGGATACTGAGGATGGAAGATCATATGAACCTAGGAGTTTGAGTTACAGTGAGCTATGATGACGCCACTGCACTCTAAGCCTGGGCAACAGAGCAAGACCCTGTCTAAAAAAAAAAAATTACACAAGTAATATGTTATATATGCTCACTGGCAGGGAAATATAAGTTTTTACTGAATTGAGTAAATTCTAATGAGAAACACCAAGAGTAATAAAATTAATCAAAATTATTGATACCTACTAATGTTAGGTGTTATTCCTACTAATGTTATTTTAGGATTTTTCACATAGCTTATCTAACCCTCACTAGGAAGCAGCAGATCTGGAATTTGGAATTTAGGTCTGATTACCAAATTGTGGTAATCCAAGTGCGAGGTGATAAAGGCTTGTATAATATTATATAGAAGCATGGAAATGGTGAAGTAAAAGAAAGTTTGAAAGACACATTCATAAATCTTGAATCTAGAAGATATAGAAGAAGAATGAATCAGAAATAACTGTAAGGTTTGAGAAGCTATGAGAATGCAGGGTAGGCTTTGTTGGTTACACAAGAAGAAATACTTAATAGGTAACCAAATGATATAATGGTTCAGGAAAGAGGATAGGACTCAAGCTATGTTTTATTTTTATCTCAGGCACATAAAACTAGATTATTCATAACCCTTGGTTCATGACACATGCTCATCATGCATGGACACTTTTCTTTATTTAATTATTTTTAATAATATAATAAACACCCACAGACCCACTAATCTTGCCAGGTGCAGTGGCTCATGCCTGTAATCCCAGCACTTTGGAAGGCTGAGGGAGGAGGATCGCTTCAAGCCAGGAGTTTGAAACTAGCCTGGGCAACATAGTGAGATTCTGTCTTTACAAAAAATAAAAATTAACTGGGCATGGTGGTGCACACCTGTAGTCCTAGCTACTTAGGAGGCTGAGGCAGGAGGATTGTTTGAGTCCAAGAATTCAAGGTTGCAGTGTGCTATGGTCAGGCTACTGCACTCTAGTCTGGGTGACAAAGTGGGACCTTGTCTCAAAAAAAAAAAAAAAAAGCTAGAATCTTGTTAATAATTACATGAAATTATGTCCCACCCACTCCATCATATTGTCTCCTTCCCACAAAGAAAACTTCAGCCCCACATGGCTTCACTGGGAAGTTCTTACAAACATTTAAGGAAAAAATAATACTAAATTCTACATAAACTCTTCCAGAAAATTAAAGAAGAGAGAATACTTCCCATACCTCCCTTCTATGAAGGCATTATTATTCTGTTACCTAAAGCAGACATTACAAGAAAAGATAATTGCAGACCAATATTCTTCCTAAACACAGATACAAACTTAACAAAATTTTATCAAGTTAAATCCAGCAATATCATAAAAGGATAATGCATCATGACCAATTGAGGTTTATCCTAGGAATGTAAGGTGATTTAACATTTCAAAATCAGTTAATTCACCATATTAATTTATAATAATGTAATTTACCATTTTAATAAACTAAAAATAAAAACTATATGATTATCTCAACAGATAAAGAAAAAGGATTAGATTAAATGCAATATCCATTCCTCCTAGTTACTCCAGCAAATTTACTCAATCTGATAAAGAGCATCAAAGAAAAATCTACAGCTAACATCTTAGTTAATGGTGAAATACTGAGCATATTTCTCCTAAAATCAGGAACAAGGCAAAGGTATCTGCTCTTACCACTTCCAATTAACATTGTCCTGGAGGTTCTAGCAGTATAGTGAGACCAGAAGAAGAAGTAAAAGGCATCCACACTGGAGAGAAAAAGTAGAACTGTGTTCACAGATGATGTGATCTATGTATGTAGAGAATCTACTGGAATCTACAAAAAATCCAAAAGAACTAAGTTACTTTAGCAGGGTTGTTGTTCATCTATCAACACAGTAATACCAGAATTTAAAAATTGTATTTCTATATACAGGTTGAGTATCCCTAATCTGAAAATCCAAAATCCAAATACTCTGAAATCTGAAATTTATTGAATACCAACATGATGTCACAAGTGGAAAATTCCACACCTGACCTCGTGATAGGTTGCAGTCAAAACTTTGTTTCATGCAAAAAATTATTTAAAATATTACATAAAATTACCTTCAGGCTATGTTATGAAACAAATGTATATGAAACATAGGTGAATTTTGTGTTTAGACTTGGGTCCCATCCCACAGATAGCTCATTATGTATATGGAAATATTCCAAAATCCCCCCAGAATTGAGATCCAAAGCACTCCTGGTCCCAAGCATTTCAGGTAAGGGATATTCAACTTGTACTATCAACAATCAATCATTAATGGAAATCTAAAAAACAATACCATTTACAGTAGTATCAGCAAACATGAGATTATTTAGGGATAGATCTACCAAAAGATGCAGAAGACCTGCACACTGAAAATTACAAAATATTTCTGAGAAATTATAGGAGATGCACACAAAGGGGAGGAGATACTATATTCATGGATGAGAAGACTCAATGTTATTAAGATACCTACTATTTTTCCCCAAATCCATCTACAGATTTCAATGCAATCTGAATCAAAATCCCAGCAAGTTCTTTTGTGGATATTGACAAACTGATTCTAAAATTGATATGAAGGCCGAGTGCAGTGGATCATGCCTGTAACCCTAGCCCTTTCTGAGGCCAAAGGGGGAGGATTGTTTGAGGCCAGGAGTTCTAGACTACCGTAGCCTGAGCAAGAGTAAGAAAAGTTAGCCAGGCATGGTGGTGCGTGTCTGTAGTCTCAGCTACATGGGAGGCTGAGGCAGGAGGATTGCTTGAGCCTGGGAGTTCAAGACCATCCTGGGCAACATAGTGAGACTGTCTCTTGACAAAAAATAAAAATAAAAAAAACTAGTCAGGTATGATGGTGTGTGCTTGTAGTCCCAGCTATGGGGAGACTGAGGCAGGGGGATCACTTGAGCCCAGGAATTTGAGGTTATAGTAAGCTATGATTGGGCCACTGCACCCAGCCTAGACAAAACAGCAAGACCCTGTCTCTTAAAAAAACAATCAAATCATTCATAATTGCCAAAACTTGGAAGCGGCCAATATGTCAATCAGTAGGTGAATGGATAAATTGTGGTACATCTAGGCAATGAAATATTATTCAATGACAAAAAGAAATGAGCCATCAAGCCATAAAAAGACATGGAGGAAACTTAAGTGCATATTACCAAGTGGAAAAAGTCAGTATGATAAGGCTGTATATATGGTTCCAACTATCTGACATTCTGGAAAAGGCAAAACTTACGGAGATGATAAAAAGAATAGTGGTGCCTAGGCTTAGGGGAGGGAAGAATGAGTAGGTGGAACATGGAAGATTTTTAGAGTAGTGAAATTACTCTGTATGATACTATAATGGTGGATACATGTCATCACACATTTGTTCAAAACCATAGAATGTACAACATCAGGAGTGAACCCTAATGTAAACTATGGTTTCTGCATAATAATGATGTGCCAGTGTAGGTTCATCAGTTATAACAAAGGTACCACCCTGGTGGGAGATATTGGTAATGGGGAGGTTATGCATGCATGGGAGAAGAGAATATATAGGAAACCTCTGTATCTTGTACTCAATTTTGCTATGAACCTAAACTGCTCTAAAAAATAAAGTCTATGAAAATAAAATTTGGCTAGAAAAATCCCAAAGGAGAAAACAAACAAAAGAACCACACACACACACACACACACACCAAAAAAACCCTAAAATAGTAAAATGGTAGACCTAAATCCATTCACATCAATAATTACATTAAATGTTAATGAACTAAACACTGTAAATAAAAGAAAAATTATCAGAATTGATCTCTTTTAAAAAGCAAGGTGCAATTTTATGCTGTATCCAAGAGATATACTTCACATATAAAAAATATAGATAAGCTGAGAGTAAATAGCTAGAAAATTAGAGACCATGCAAACTATAAACCTAAGAAAGTTTGATGTCACTGTTTTAATATCAGATAAGTTCAAGACAATGAGGTAAGAAGAGGGAAATTTCATACTGATCAATGGTCAATTCAAGAAAGATATTACAATCATGATGTGTATGCACTAAAATAAACTTAATTATACATGTAATAAAAATGACAGAATTACAAGGAGAATAGAAAATTCCATGTAGGCCAGGCGTGGTGGTTCATACCTGTAATCCTAGCATTTTGGGAGGCTGAGATGGGATGATCTTTTAATGCCAATAGTTCAATACCAGCCTGGACAACATGGTGAGACTGTCTCTACAAAAAATCTTTAAAATTAGCCAGATTTGGTGAGCCTGTAGTTCCAGCTACTTGGGAGGCTGAGGCAGGAGGATCATTTGAGCCCAGGAGTTTGAGGTTGCAGTGAGGTATTATGGTGCCACTGCACTCTAGCCAGGGTAACAGAGCAAGACCCTGTCTCAAAAAAAAAAAAAAAAGGAAAAGAAAAGATTGATAGAACGAGCCAAAAAAAAAAAAAAAAGTAAAGATACAGAAAATCCAAAACAACTAATATCAACTACCTTAATCTAGTTGATATTTATAGAATAATGCAAATAATTGCAAAATACATATTGTTTTTAAGTACACTTGATATATTCACCAAGTTATTCTGGTTCAAAAACTTTCAGGGATCTTTTAACACCATGCACCTTGTATTTCCTATACTATGAATCGTGAGAAAAGGAGCTGAAGGTTATTACAAAAGGTTATTACAAATTATTAATTGCTTGGATTATGCCAATATTTTTGAGGGGCAATTAACTGCTATTTTTATTTATAAAAATATGTAACATACTAAAAACAAAGTCATTAAGCATTCTTATACAATATTAAAATTTTTTTTCAGGTGCAAAAATATACAAAACTTCATAATCAGCTCAAGACTACATAGAGCAAACATGAATGATATTTCCCAAAAAGCTGAGGTAAGTCTCGAAAGTGAAAAAAAGCAAATGAGGGAAATGTAGGGTTAACTGTAGAATTGCTGAGAGGGCAGTTGTTTGGTGGAAAGGTAATATTTAGGAGTTCATAATAATATGTTATAGGCTGGGCGAGGTGGCTCACGCCTGTAATCCTAGCTCTCTAGGAGGCCGAGGCGGGCGGATTGCTCGAGGTCAGGAGTTCGAAACCAGCCTGAGCAAGAGCGAGACCCCGTCTCTACTATAAATAGAAAGAAATTAATTGGCCATCTAATATATCTAGAAAAAAAGTTAGCTGGGCATGTAGTCCCAGCTACTTGGGAGGCTGAGGCAGGAGGATTGCTTGAGCCCAGGAGCTTGAGGTTGCTGTGAGCTAGGCTGACGTCATGGCACTCACTCTAGCCTGGGCAACAAAGTGAGACTCTGTCTCAAAAAAAAAAAAAAAGTTATAATAATAACATTAACATATGTTAATAATAACATAATAACTTTAACATAATAATATGTTATAATAATAACATAATGTTGAGATGTAAAACAAGAAGAGATACAATTCACCAGCTGGTTTGAGACCAGTATTTTCATTTGAATTCTAAGCTAGGAGGCATGATTTGTGAATGACAGTAAAGTGAATGTGATGGCTAGCATCTTGAGTAGAATTTTAAGTATCTTGATAAGTCTTAGAAATTATTCTTTCAGTATTAAAAAAACAGTATTTCAGTATTAAAAAAATATTTTAGTATTAAAAAAAAACCCAACAAATTTGACCTATATTCACAGGGAAAAGATAATTAATTCTCAGGTGAGGATTCTTCATAGCTCTTTCTTCCAGTGGCTGCAATAAGATTTTTCTTAGCATTTTCCTGGTTCTTGACTATAGTTACTGAGGTTGTAGTAACAAGAGGTCAGTTGCTGATACTCCAAAATTATAAAGTTAAAAATACTTAAATGGTCAATGACATATAGTAGATTACAAAACAATCTGCCATTTTCAGTAGGAGAAAGGGTTTGATGTTCTGAGGCACTGAAGTTTTTTTTTTTTTTTGTTTTGTTGTCCAGGCTAGAGTGAGTGCCATGACGTCAGCCTAGTTCACAGCAACCTCAAACTCCTGGGCTCAAGCAATTCTTCTGCCTCAGCCTCCCAATTAGCTGGGACTACAGGCATGCGCCACCATGCCCAGCTAATTTTTTCTATATATATCAGTTGGCCAATTAATTTCTTTCTATTTATAATAGAGATGGGGTCTTGCTCTTGCTCAGGCTGGTTTTGAACTCCTGACCTCGGGCAATCCGCCTGCCTTGGCCTCCCAAAGAGCTAGGATTATAGGCGTGAGCCACCGTGCCCGGCCTGAGGCACTGAAGTTTTATTTACTGAAACTTCTTTTAGAGCTTGGCTTAATTTTCAAAATAATGAAAATAATTTGTCTTCCTAGTTTTACAGTTTTCTACCAGATTCTTCTTCTCTGGAAACCTCTTTTGCCATGTGGGAATTTTCCTTTTAGGAAAATCCTAAAATCCACATCCTACATGGAATGATACAGTCTTCTTACACATTTCTAACATGGCTTAAGGAAGTTATAGTTGGGCAGCACAGCAGTACTACCAACATAAATCACTGCTTGTGCACACAGACCATGGTGCAACCTCAACCACAAATGGGGAATAAAGGACTGGCTGTCACTTTTACTTATATTAGATATAGAAACCAGCAAGTATGTAATATGCAAATTAGGCTTTCAAGTTTAAAGCCTCAAAACTTTTGCTTTGTTTTCAACGTCACCAAATTTGCTGAAATTAGACATGGTACCTTTTAAGAAAGTGATGTCCTGAATGTTTAATAATGAAGTAGGGCAACACAATACAGATTGTTTTTTAATTAGAATTCAGTATTTGATTTTTATACTTTACTGGTCTTCAGCTTCAGTGGAATACTACCCACAAAATGGAACTTGATTACTATATGTTAATGAAATTTCTACTCTCATGTTTTCTGTAATTTTATTTTTCATAGTTAGATTTTAGAAAGTATCTTATCAGGTGGTGGTGGTTCAAATTAAGGTTTCAAACTCATTTCTGTTTTCTGTTTCAATAAAATTTTTTACATTGTTTGCTCTCATATATCTTTATCTAATTTCTTCTTATCTTTTTTTAAGCTTTCTTCTCTTTATTTTCTTCTAATTAAGATTCTGCTTTCTTCATCTAAACCTATCCCAAAAACCTATGTGCCAAAACTTGGCAAGGGTGATGTAAAGGATAAGTTTGAAGCCATGCAGAGAGCCAGGGAAGAAAGAAATCAAAGGAGATCTAGAGACGAAAAACAAAGAAGAAAAGAACAATATATTAGAGAGAGAGAATGGAACAGGAGAAAGCAGGAGGTTATTTTATTTTACTTTATTCTTGTGAAACTATTCATTTTCATTTTTTTATTTATATTTTATTATTCACATTAATCACATTTTATATTAACTATAATTAAAATACTTTTCTGTATTTATAAGCTAATATAAACTCTGCATATACTGTGATTTAGTCTAATTTTTGGACATGTGCTCATATTAATTTATTTAATTGTCTAGATTAAAGAAATGCTTGCTTCTGATGATGAGGAATCAGTGTCTTCTAAGGTAGAAAAGGCTTATGTCCCAAAGCTAATAGGTAAGAAACTCGAGGGGTAAATTGTAAATTAAATTGCAGAAAAAGAGAAACATATAACAAAGTATCAAATTCTTCTTTTATATATTCTTAGGAACTGTTAAAGGTAAATTTGCTGAAATGGAGAAACAAAGACAAGAGGAACAAAGGAAGAGAACTGAGGAGGAACGAAAACGCAGAATTGAGCAGGATATGCTAGAAAAGAGGAAAATTGAGCGTGAATTAGCAAAAAGGGCTGAGCAGGTATCATCGCCAAATATTAAGTTGGTATTTGTTTGTGCAACTAATTGTACAAAATAAAACTAATCAGTATGTTGCCTAATTAAACTATTTTAATACAACATAAACCCAATTAAATAGCAGCTAACCTGGAAACAGGATCTTAAGTGAAAATATTTAATGTCAGATACCTAGAAAGGTAAGGGCAGAATGTGCCTATTTTAAGACAGAATATTGACATGATTTTGTTATAGATAATCTTATTCTGTCCACATTTCCTCACACTGTCCACATTCCTTATTTTTCTTGACATATTAGCAGATTTTATACAAAGATGTTAGGCAATTTCATACATAAACTATTCACAAGCACCTAACAAAATACTAGTCTTTTAACAGCAATACTTATAAATGCTGGTTTTTTAAAGCAATACTTTAAGTGTCTTAAATCTATTTGCTATGCTCTTCAGTTTCCACTATCTTTCTAAAAAGAAAAGTGACAATGAAAGCAAAGCATATGCTATCCTTTCAGGCCAAAGAAATTTATTTACCCTGGCTTTGCAAATGACCACTTTATGACACAAATAGCCACTAGTATGGTGGCAAATGATGACATATACTTGCTGACGTATAAAAAAAGAATGAGAATTTCCTATATTTTATTCCTTTTGTACTTCTTTATCTGAAGAAAGGATGCTATATACTTTACTACTGCCACTTCCGGTCATTAAAGATTAGCATTAATTTTTTCTTTTTTTCCTTTTTTTTTGTCTTTAGCATTAATTTTGTAATAAAATTTCACAAGGGACTAAAATTTTAATATAGGAGAATTATTATAAATTATATATTATAAATATAAAATATCTAGATATGTAATTATATTTGTAATTATATCATAAATTATAAAATTAGGAAATAAAATAATAATAAAATATATAATTAAAATATATGGTGTTTGGCAGAAAACATTGAGCATGTACATGGGGTTAGTCTTCTTTTAAACCTTGTGTCCTTTTTCAGCACTGATTATTTCCTAGACTTAAGACTCACTACATCCCCAATAATGGAATAGGCAGGCAGTGGTTTCTCAAAGAAAACCTGTGTGTGTGTTGAAGTGGTGAGTTAGAGTATGGTAAAGGCATAGGATTCTCAGAGACAGAAACACAACATGATTATGAAAATGGACTACGTTTTTAGTAACTCTAAATACTTGCTATGTGGCAGGGTGCAGTAGAACCTTGGTTAATGAAATTTTTTGCCTATTAAATTATTTAAGAATATGAAGGCATACAAATGTTTTTGGTTACAAATTTAAAAAAAAAAAAAAAGAATATGAAGGCAGAACAAAGTAAATTATTAATAGTAATTTTATCTTGTAAATATGTAAAGTCTAATTTTAAAATGCAATTAAGTATATCTTCCACTCAAATATAATGTAATTTAATGTATCTTTAAATATAAGGAATATGGTATAGGTAGTCAAGAAGAGTCTTTTTGTTTTTGTTTTTAGAGATAGGATCTCTCTGTTACCTAGGCTAGATGGAGTGCAGTAGTGCCATCATAGCTCACTGTAGCTTCTAATTCCTGAGTTCAGGCAATCCTCCTGCCTCAGCCTCCCAAGCAACTGGGACTATTGGCATGTGCCACCATGCCTAATTTTTCTTTTTTTAAATTTTTTTGTAGAGACAGGGTCTTGCTGTGTCTGGCCCAGGCTGGTCTTGAACTCTTGGCCTCAAGTGATCCTCTTGCCTTGGCCTCCCAAAGTGCTGGGATTACAGGTGTGAGCCACTATGTCCAGCTCAAAGAGTCTTAATGTTTTTTTGCAAAAGCTTCTTCTACAAATCCATAAGCAAGAATGCTATAAAAGGGATTCCTGAGTCAGGGGGAGTCTTATTGACATCCAAGATTCTGAGATTCTAGGATCTTATAATGAATTAACACATTAATTGCCATATAAGTTGTATTTAACTCATGATAGTTTTTGAGCCTGGGGTCTTGTGAAGCATATGTAACTCACATGTCTCTTCACCTTGGGAGTCATGTGAACTATTTTTCAAGTTGCATATAACTCACACACAGAAAACAATAAGAAATAACAAATTTTTCATTAAGTTAGAAAGGATTGTTTTGTTTTCAAAGTTATTATTCTATTTTAGTAATAAAACACCGTGGCCCCAAAAGGAAAAAAAAAATTTTTCTAGTGTGGGAGTAAATGTATTAAAAATGGATATACTTTGTGTACTGGATATTAGACTCAAATGCCAATAAAATTTGGGGAAGAACCTTGATTTGGTATTATCTGGTTATCTTTGAAGATACCCTGATGGGCAAAGTTAAAGTCTATCAACTTAGAAAAAGAGAAGTTATTAGTGGGGATGTTGAAAAAAGAGGGGAGAAAAGGAAGTTGATTTGGGAAGGAGCAAAAGCAGTTTCCTTTCCATAAAGCAAAAGAAATAGTTGAGAAGTAGCTCTTCAATGATAGCTTCTCAAAATCAATAGTATAACTGAACTTCTGATTATCTATTCTCTATTAATATACTGACACCATGGCCACTTAGACAAATTAATTTTCATCCTTTTTTGTTGGGGGAAGAAAAAGTATTCTATCTTTTGTTGTTTGGGTGAGAGCTTAAAATGAGCCAAGAAGCAAGCAAAAAAAAAAAAAATCTTCAAATATACTTTATTATTTTACTATAAGCTAATAAAGATCTGAGAAGGTTGTAGCAGTAAGAAAAAGTTGGGATCAAGAAATTTAGTATTTTTATTTCCTATATTCTTAATGTCTGGCTTCTTACCATATATCCTAGATCATTTTATTGAGAAATTAAAATGACTTGTAGAGGAGTTGTCAGTATTCTTTTAAAGGTAAGTCATTTTGTACTACACTTGATCTTAGCCAAAAGGCCAAGAAACAATGCTGGGGGAAGTAATTTTGTAATGATTTTATTATAGATCCATTAAAATTTTCTTAGTATAATACATCATTCAATAAAACCTTCACCATTTACATAGGGAATCAATATTAACAAGTAAGTCTGTAACAAAATTATTCTGAACAAAATAAATTATTTTGTAGTGTACAAAGTTATTCTGAATAAAACTTTTAAAAATAAACCATTGTAAAATAGATTTATTTTTAATAAACTATTCAGAATAATTTGTTTTTTAAGAAATTGGGCACCTTAGGCTCTTAGGCTGGGCCTGGTAGCTCATACCTGTAATCCTAGCACTTCGGGAGGCCAAGGCAGGAGGATTGCTTGAGGCCAGGAATTGGAGACTAGTTTGGGAAACAGAGCAAGACCCTATCTCTACAAAAAATAAAAATAAATCAATAAATTAGCCAGGCATGGTGGTACATGCCTATTGTCCTAGCTACTTGGGAGACTGAGTTTGGAGGATCACTTGAGCCGTGGAGTTCAAGGCTACAGTGAGCTCTGATCATGCCACTGCACTCTAGCCTGGGTGATAGAGTGAGATCTTGTCTTAAAAAGAAAAAAAAAAAAAAAAAGGAAAGAAATTGGGTATCTTAATCAATCAACAATCTGAATTCTTACTTTCTAACGGTTCCCATTTTCCCATTGCTTATGTTTTCTTTTCCTGAGATCTCAGACATTGCTTTATTTAAACCACCTATCATCTCTCAAATCTCAGTTGTTTAAGAACAGTACATTAGCCTTCCCTCAAGCTAACCTAATGGTGGTTTTTTACTAGTAATGGCCAAATTGAGCTCTCATTTTTTTTTTTTTTTTTTTTTGAGACAGAGTCTCGCTTTGTTGTCCAGGCTAGAGTGAGTGCCGTGGCATCAGCCTAGCTCACAGCAACCTCACACTCCTGGGCTCGAGCGATCCTTCTGCCTCAGCCTCCCAAGTAGCTGGGACTACAGGCATGCGCCACCATGCCCGGCTAATTTTTTATATACATATCAGTTGGCCAATTAATTTATTTCTATTTATAGTAGAGACGGGGTCTCGCTCTTGCTCAGGCTGGTTTTGAACTCCTGACCTTGAGCAATCCGCCCGCCTCGGCCTCCAGAGAGCTAGGATTACAGGCGTGAGCCACCGCGCCGGCCTGAGCTCTCA